CACGTTAGATGTATAAAAAAACAACAACGACAAGCATAATAAATTATCATTGTGGCAAGAAAGTTATTATTTAACTTGGCAGGACGACGACGTCATGTTTTATTGATAAATGCGGTCTCCGGAGGGGTATTCGTAGTTGTGTTTTACCCACAATACTCAATCTCTCTCCTCGCCACCTACATTCGATGGTCATGTACGGGGCGTAAAAAGGGTAAATAAAAATTCATACCGACGAAGACATTTGCCAAGTTTTTCTTCTTTTTATTTTTTTAACGAATTGCGAAAAAAAAATAAACGTAAAACCCCTCGGGTGTGTTTGGTTTTTTTAAACAGAATAAATCTGAGGATTTTACAAAACAGGGATTTGCTGAGATTATTTCGCTGTATAGTATTGCTCGGTGCGGAGGGTAGTGGAGAGGTCGGAGTTGATGCGAAGGATTTTCACTGGCGTAGTCGTCGCCGCCGTCATCGTCGGCAGGTGTGTTAAGACGCAAAGTAGTCGTTGTCGTCGTCGACGAAAATCGGAGATCCGCCCTCGGTGATAAGTTGCTATTTTCTACCACCTCTGACCCCTCCCTTTTGCTGTGTGAAATTATCGTGCGTGCCTCCGGATAGCACCAGCTGTATATATATAGAATGACCTGAGGAAAAACAGTAGTTTTATACAATGAGGGTTGAAACACTGATAAGGACGATTTCGTTTTTCGGCAACATTCGACGCTGTAGCAAATTGCCTGGCCTTTCCGTTTGTTTAATGTTCTGTTTAATGCGCATTCATCATTCGAAACTCGGGGTAATCTACAGCACTATATCTTCCTTAAGATCATAAAAGCAATGTCTAAAAATACTCGCAGCTAAAAATCATTTATTATAAAAATTTACCGAGTTTCATACTTTTATTTGCTGGTCAATTTTCATTTTATAACGATACTTTAATCATTAAATTATTGCTAACTAAATATAAATGTAAAAATATGTTTAACTCAATAACTATGTTAAAATAGGTTAAATTTATTAAGAGAAATAGATTTATCTAAAGCTAGAATTTTTTATAATTTTGCATAATCATTTGACTATTATTTATTTAATTATATAAATATCCTCAGTTTTTTTGTTCTTTATTGAAGTTTATTTAAAAAAAAAACCGTCAATTTTTATTTACGTTCAAAGCATTTCAAAGTTACTCTTAACATAAAGATTCAGACAATGTTTAAATGTTATTAGTACTTATTGATTGATAAACAATGTTTTAGAACAATTATCTCAATACGGAAACTCTTTACGTTTCCGTAATTTTATTTTTGTTATCAGAGTGTAGGAAACGCTAGTGCCTCTATGGAGAAACGATATAAAAATACTACTTGTAGAAGTTCTCGATGGGTATACCTCACGTGTATATTGGTCGTACATAGTATAGGTCGATGTGAAATAGTAGGGATACATTATCCTTTTGGGTGACGTCACCAATCCCTTATTTTTCTTCAATATTGGTTAAGGATTACATTGTACTTATAAAAAAAACATCTTGAACGCTAAAAATCCTCTTTCATTTTGTCCTCGTGTATTATTATTAGCAGAAAAGCTCTAAGTAAGTATATAAAAGTATGCTATAAAAGTATTAAAACTAACTTTTATCCTTTTAAAACTTTTATTTGTTTAATGTTCGGATCGATCCTATTAAAAATAAAACGGATGAAGAATAGCTAATAACAATTAAACATTAACTTTAATGTGACATATAGTAAGTACATAAACTAAAATATATAATTTAATTAATGTAAAATAAAATTATTTGAAATCCTTCGTATCTTCTTTAATTTTTTTTTTTTTCATATCCAATAAAGAAAACGATATTTTTATACATATCATTGAAAATTGGAAGATTTAAAATATCATTTATTTATATAAACTACTAAAATTATGCGCAAAAAATTTTCGCCCAACGTGGGGCTCGAACCCACGACCCCGAGATTAAGAGTCTCGTGCTCTACCGACTGAGCTAGCCGGGCTGATGAGCGCCTGAGCCAAATCATCGTGATTTAATATAAAATGAAGCGAACACCGGGTACGTTTTGAAAAGTAGTTACCTGGTAAATAAATTACTTCCCTTTTCATATACAAAAAATGTGTAGATAATTTTTAAAGATTAATTTGTTATTACTTAGAGTTCATGTTAAAAAACTTTTAGCATTTAAATAAACGATAAAAAAAGTTATAGAAATTATATACGAATATTTCGCCATCTTCATTGAACAATAACAAGTTTGAACATTTTCGGAGGGGCTCCAAATTCTAAAGACTCCCTTTTAATGTGTGCCTTTCTCAACACGTCATAACAGTTATGCCGTGATAGAAGCTCTAAACATTTTAAAATGATTTGTTATTTATAATGATCATTACTGTTAAATTTATGACTGGTAATTTATTCCGCTTGATTAAGAATATAAGGGTTGTAAATGTGGTATAAAATGTGTATTTACTTCATGAATACATATTTTTTTTTTTAAATTAATAACTATTAAATTTGAAAATAATTTCTGATTTTATGAATTTACATTGTTTCACTATATATGATGTAAAGCTATGAACACAATTTATTGACATAATATTTTATTAAATTACATTTCAGTTAAGGTTTACGTTCATGCTATGATTTTTTACAACTTTTATGAACGAAATATCCATTTATTTCACCTACTCCTACACTTTTCCCCAATTATCTCGTCAAATAGTATACTGCCGGATTTCCTTCACACCTTTCACGTCCCAACTACTTCCGAAAATTATATTGCTCTATTTTGCAACGGGTGCGCACTGAGCATTTTCCTACATCCCTTTCGTTCAGCCGTTATTACCCTGTTATTGCTGCTCGTATGGTAAGCGGCTGGTGGAAAATCGCGACCGTGTATTTTTATATTACTCACGGTCGACACGCGATAAGTAATTTCGTCAATTTCAAAAGTGCCGCGTGTGCAGTAACCGAGTTTATAAAATACCCTATAATATAATAAAAAACCGCTTTCATCGGGAATTTCGTCAAATGAGAAAACCCAACGCGCAGCTGTCTGAAGTCACAGGCTTCGCAATACTTAAATCGCATAGGTCAAACCAAACAATTCTATTTACGAACATAATAAGTATACATTACTACCGCAAAACAACAAGTGTGTAGTACGTTAGAATGAAAATTTTTTGTCAGTTTTTTTCTTAAAACAAACAATATTAATTGAATTATTTTCAAACATAATAGTTAAAAATGTTGTAGCTATTGTGTAAAATCTGTGAAACTTGCTATGTCTTATGATTAATTTATGGTGATTCAAAGAACAATTCTAATAATAAATATTGCAACATTTTGACAGTGCTTGACGTATGTTGGAATAGAAAATAGAATTTTCGTTATGGAGAATTATTTTTGTATAATTTTAAAAAGACACATGTGTGTGTGTATTTCGAATATCTACCTGATTGGGTTGTTGTTTGTCTACAGAATGCGCCCCAGAAGAAAATTTATCGAAAAGGGTAAATTGAACATGAAAAACCTGCGGCAGCTGTTATAACATAACATATGCTGACATTAAGCCTCGGGCAACGTTAACAATGTTTTCAATAATTAGATATGCATTGTAAAACTAGAGTACTTGGTGTTGTGTTGTTGTAAGTCAATACCAAACATGCTTGCAATTTTTATTAATTGAACTATGTAAAATAAACTTATCGACAAAAAAATTGTGTAGAATATTTTGAATAACTTTTAGTAATATTAAAGAATAATTTTTTATTTTTGGACAAAAATGAAGGCAAGCTTTTAAATGTAAATAAAATTTTTTTCCTCATTACTTTCATAACGCTATGATAAATATAATAATAGTTAACAAGACTTTCAAATAAACTAAAATCTGAATACCATTAAAAAATTGAATTTTTAAAGGTATAATGTTCTTATCGAAACAATTTGTCTAAAAAACATAAGTAACCGTTTAGGTTAGTGTTAGACTAATTTCAGCTTGGATAAGCCATTCAAACAATTTTTTGTTATTAAGTAAACTCGTAAAAATCTGTTAACATCAAAATAATATAATTTGAATAAGCATTTTAGAAGTATTTTTTTTTTTCTGATCATAGCAGTAATATAATATTATCACAACCTACATAATAAATCTATTATGAAATACTATACACTTTTAGAGTAGTGACACTTAACTAGGCGTATGCAATGAAATGTCAGAACGATTGAAAAATTTATTTCTTGTCACCAGAAAAGAGTTTAGATATGATAAAAATATTGAAGTGAAACGAAAGCATATATATATTATTCAATGCCATAATTTTATTTTTTTGATAGAACGAAGTAAAAATTTTAAACAGCTTATAAAATTATTATTTTACAAAAAACTAATACGAGTTTAATTTTTACAGATGATTAAATATTGCGCAAAAATACTTGTATTTTAAGATATATTACCTTAAAAAATTAATATTTTATATTAAGAAGTATAAAATTATACCTAGTGAAATTACGTTCACAAGAGAGATCAAAAATTTTTTTGTAAATTAACAAGACACAAGGTTCATCTGGAATATTTATTTTAATACGATAATAAATAGTGTTACGATAATAAAAACTATTCCATAAGCTTTATTGCACAAATATTTTAATTATTTTGCTTTGAAATTGTCTCATGGGATTTAGTGGTTATTGAGAACCTTAAAAACACTCCCGGAAATCGCAGAACATCAAATAATATTTACATTTAAAAAATAAATCTCAGAAACTCATAAATTATAAAATAATTTTAAAATATTGCTCAGGCGCGAGAAAATCTTCTGTTCACCGTAAAAATTTAGATTAAAATTTTCTAATTATTATATCTTCACTTAAAATTGTAAAACTCGATGTACTGATAACTTTAGTTTTATCGTTAATGATAATTTTTTTATACAAATAGTTACCATATTAGAATTAATGAGTAATTAAAAGTTTGTTGTCTTTATTTCAGGTGATGGTCAGAGTACGGATTCGCCGGGATTCGAGTTGTTTGATTCGGAAAACGGTCACGATCTCACGTTATCGCCACAAACCTTCACGGCGAATACCACAGCTGATTCGTTTTTGGTCAACGACAACTCTAATAGTGTAGGGATGTCCGTCAACGAATCTGACACGGGTAAGTTTTGAAAATTGTTTCATTGACTTATTACACCATGTATGAGAATTAAATGACCTGTATTTTATAAAAACCACCTGGATACTGTGCCATGGTAAAATCGCTTTTCTGATGATAATTTGTTTGAATGTAAAAGAATATTTAGCTTTAAAAGCAAACAATGAGTAAACGAGATTATAGAGAAATATGAGATTGACTTTTTGTACTAAATTGAGCAACAAAGTATTGTTAACAAAGGATCGCATTGTTTTCTATAGACAAAAACCTTAGCAATACAGTACTTTCCTGCTGTTTTCTGACTATCTCGATGTATTATGCGTACAGATTACAGAATTTCACATAAATGTGTAGAATTCACAAAAGGGTCACTATTCACTGAGAAGATAGGTTGTACCGAAAGACGAGGTCTCTAAGTACTGACATAAGAAATGAATTCTAACATTGAAGCATTTTCAATTGTATAAAATATAATTTCTTACTAAATAACTATTTAACTACCTATAATATAATACATACAGACAATTCGATATACTTTCAAAATATTTCGTATTAAATCGTAAATTTACTTCTCGAATAATAAATATAAACGTTCCATTAAATTCAATATATTTTTAGTTTGTTCTCAGAAACAATAATTTCGTCAGATATGTAAAAATATAAATAATTTTTCTATAACTCCATCCAAAATGTTTTAGGGAAAATGTGTTACTGACATTATCTCTTAAGTGGTTTTAAAGTAAAGAATAAACTTGAAATACATAATTTTGCAAAAGTGCTTTTATCAAAAATATAACGTATAATATATATATATATTTTTTTTTTTTGTGAGTCTCATACCTTTTGATTCTGTAGCCGGTGTGTTTGATTGTATACGAGTGAGATTTAAACCACTCTCACTTTTTCAAATACTCCAACACACACTCACATACTCACATTATACAATAAATACGTACAGTTCGAAAACAACTGCCAAGGGAACGATAAATAAATTTTAGGAAACTTTCGGTTTTGGTGCTCGACTCCCCTCAACCATTCGTCCATCCAAGTCTTTATAGTCTGTATGTAATTTAATAGTTTTGAATCCACCCCAATACTGGTGGCGATGATTTAATCCTACTACAGCTACTGGACAAAATCTCATAATTCATGATATTGTCGAATGTATATAGGAACATTCTATTCGGTGTATAAAAAAGTGTACAAATATTATGTACTAGAATACGCCCTTTTATTGCAAAACAACAAAGATAACCAACGAGTTTTTAAATGAAATGGGACTCGGAACTAAAAAATAAGAGTATGTTTCCCAGTCAAATTAAAATAATTGATTTATAGACATCACTTGTACGAATACCAACATGTAAAAAAACCCAGCTCAGTGGGGACGTGGCATAATTGGGTCAAGTATAATGATATCTGACAGTGATTAAAATCACTATCATAAAAAACGCTTCGATGCAAATCTGTAAATAGTGTTTAATTTTAAAAAACTGGTAGATTATTGGTCTATATATTTTTCAAAAAGTTACTGCATTATAAAATTAAAAAACCCAGCACAGTGGGGTCGCGGCATAGTGGGGATGTTGCATAGTTGGGTCCAGTATAGATTTAATCTGACAGTGATTAAAATCACTATCATAAGAAACGCTTCGATGCAAATCAGTAGATAGTGTTTAATTCTAAGAAATTGGTGGATAATTACAAAAGCTACATTATCTGCTAGTTTCTTATTAATACCCTGATTAAGATAAAGTATGTCGAATGAAAAAGGGATTATTAAAAAATATTATTTCTCANATATGTCGAATGAAAAAGGGATTAATAAAAAATATTATTTCTCATAAAAAAATTGTGTTGATTCGTACACTTTTCAATGAGTTATAGCATTATAAAGTTAAAAATGTAACCAACCCAACCCAACATCAACTCCTATTTCCTTAATTATATCCAGATTAGTAATTATTTTAATTATATATTATATAATTTTTATAATTAATTATTTTCAAATTATTATTGATTTTTAATATGTTAAAAGTAATCATTTTGAACCTACTTCTTTTTGTTCTTTAAAGTGAAAGTTTTAATAAAAAAAAAATGAATTTATTACCATAACTTTTAACTCAACTTGCAAGTTTGAAATAAATATTATTAAATAGAAAAAAATGAAATTGGTAGATTATTTCAAAAACAACAATAACACTTATTCCCTTAATTTTACCCCGATTTATAACTATAATATATGAATACATAATAATTACAGTAATTAAATTGAGTATGAAAGTGGTATTCAATAATATAATATTGTAATTTTTACGGAGATATTATAAAAATAAAAAGGAGTTGTATATTCATATACTTTTAATGCGTATACAAATTTAAAGGAATTTATGCAATACTTTTTAATAAAAAAATTTTGTTACTTATGAATAAATACACTAAACAAAAGGAACTTTCATCAGAAAAAAAATATACTTTTCTAAATAAACTTTTCGTGATGTTTTCAAATGTGCAATTAAACTTTTTCTATTACTTCTAAGTTTTAATATTATTACTTATTATTAAAAAATAAGTATTTACATATAAAAAAAAATAATTAAGAACAAAAAAAATTGTATTAAATTAATACTGATTTTGATTTTTAATATGTTAAAGGTAATCATTTTGAACCTATTTTTTATTGTCTTTTAAAGTGAAAGTTTTAATGAAAAATACCTTCTCAGCTTCGCATCGAAGCTAAAAAATGAATTTGTTACCATAACTTATAGTTCAACTTGCAAGTTTGAAATTGACATTATTAAATTGAAAAAAATGAAATTTTTAAGATTAATATGCAATCTGGAAATTTTATAATTACTAATTACAGTACATTTGTCAGAAAAATTCGATTTTTTTACATTTTTATCGTAATAGATAACTGAAATAGAAAGAATAGTAATCATATCCTAATAACTTTTGGTGTTTAAAAAAATTCTGCAATTGAAATATTCAGAACTTAATTAATTTTAATAATTTACTTTAATTAAATGAACCAATCAAACCAAAGTAGTTAAAAAGATTTACTCAATTGAGCATATTATCAAAAATATAATTATAATTGTAAAACTCCATCGTTAACTTCAGGTGAAACTAAAAATCATTTTTTTTTTAAATTTATGATTTATATAGCAAAATATTACTAAAAAATTTGGCATATTATAGACTGGTAGTAGCACACAGAAATAGAGTTAAAAAATTAATAAATTATAAAGTAAAATTATTTACTTTTGTAGTTGAATACTTTTATCATATCAAATTTAATTCGACAATAAATAATTTAAGAATATTAAAAATTAATGATTTTAATTGTTTGTATGGACAAATCTAGTTAAGCTACTTTTTATTTGAATAAGGAATATTTTTTTGATTTTTAAGAGTAATAACTTAAACTAATCATTAACTTAAATATCATAAACTTAAATGAATCATTTGACGTATCGTTGAAAAAAGTAGGTCTAGTGAGGGTTGGCAAAATAAATCGTAGCCAGAAAAAGAACCACATAGTAAAATAATATTAACATGAATATCAATTTCTTCTCACGAGGGGAGACTATAGTGATAAGATCCTTTATATTTATTGAAATTATTGAATCTAAATGAGATAAATATCAAATGATTTGAAAATTCTATTCTAACTCAAAAAAAAAATGCAAAATTTTAGAAGCCACAAACGGATTTGAACCTCGTACCCTAGGCGTTAAAGATCAAGGTGTTACCCATTCGGCAACTATTCGTTGATTTTTGTTGCATGATAAAATTGGCTATTTAAGCTAACTCAAATTTAAAAATTACTTTTTCGACTTTAAAAAAGTAAAAAATGTTAATAAGTATAATATCATATGTCTTATGAACTTTATTCTATGTCAATGAAATTATATAATATTCATGAAAGTCAGTTTATTCCCCTAATAAAATATTTTAAAATAAAATAAAATACAAAACCTAGAATTTTAATAAAAAATAGCATATTTTTAAATACGGTAGCCTTTTGCGCATAGAAGATAGGTCGTCGGGACAAATTTTTTTTTTTCATTTAGTAGTACATAAAATAAGCTTTAATTTGATATATGTTTAAAGGACGCAGTATTTCCGGAACATTTTCAAAAATTAAGTTGAAAAAGTTAGTTTTTGTAAAAAAGTTGCTATTTTAAATCCCCCCTGTGAGCAGAATAAGTGTTAGATTTTCAAAAAAAAATGATATCAAATGAAAGAAAATTACCTAAGGTTTCAATATAAAGAAATATTATTTTGATTAGTTAATATTTGAAAAAGTTATGGCAGTTTTAAGTACAAAAAACATCGTTATAAAAGGTGATTTTTATCGCAAATATTACATTTTTTTTATAATTTCGACAGCCATTTGCACATAGAAGATAAGGTGTCGGGACAAATTTTTTTTTTTCATTTTATAGTACATAAAAAAAGCTTTAATTTGATATATGTTTAAAGGACGCAGTATTTCCGGAACATTTTCAAAAGTTCAGTTGAAAAAGTTCTATTTTTTATACAATGTTTCAAAGTTTGAACCCCCCCTATATAAGGGGAAATTGTCTAATTTTAATAAAAAGTATGTCAAATGGAAGATGTACTTATAATGTATTTAGAAAAAAAAAAATTGTGCTGATACATGCATTTTTCGAAAAGTTATAGCATTTTTAAGTTGAAAATTAAAAATTGAAAATCGAAAATTTTAACACAAAAATAGTGTTTTTTTAACTACGGCAACCGTTTACATGCAGAAGATAAAGTGTCGGGACAAATTTTTTTTTTTCATTTTATAGTACATAAAATAAGCTTTAATTTGATATATGTTTAAAGGACGCAGTATTTCCGGAACATTTTCAAAAATTAAGTTGAAAAAAGTTCTACTCTCTATATGCATTTTTAAGTTTTGAAACCCCCCCTGTATTAAGGAAAATGGTCCGATTAAAAAAAAAGTATGTTAAATGAAAGAAGTATATAAA